ACCCCCCCAGGCTCCCTCCGCTCGCAGGCTTTCCGTAAATCATTACCTCTCCACTTCACAAACAAGGCAGGGTGAAGAGCAATGCCCCTTTTGCCTAGTTTGAACATAAACTCTTATCCCAGACTCTCCTGGGACTTGTAAGCTGTCCCAGTTCTGCAAGGGCAGAGTGTGGAAACGGGGCTGTCAAGATTTTATCAGCAGCTCGGCCACTGGATTTCCAGTTTTGCTCGAGTTACTCTGTTTACCACAGAGACACTTTGCAAAGGTTTAGCAGAAGCTCCATCCATGAAGGGCTCTCTATAAAAGGCCAAAGTATGAAGAACGTTTTCCCCTCCAGCCTCTTAACCCTGTTGGCTTTGTTTAAAAAAAATAAAAGGAAAAAAAAAAGGAGAGATAATCCTGTCCCTTCCCAGGCAAGTACAGGAGGTGTCATCCCCTGAGGCAGCACAGAAGGAGGGAGGCCAGCTTCCTTCACAGGAGGCTTTTATTAAAACTGGGTGACGTCTACAAGGATACAGTACAAAAACAAAAAAGTTTGGTCCATGGAAAAAAAAAAACCCAACATAATATTCAGTTAAGAAAAGCAGTTACTCTGCAGAGCTACGTTCTCCTACGCAGCACTCGGCATCCTCCGCGTGCGACGGCCCCGAGGGCTCAGGGGTGGCTCCATCAGCACCAAGATCTTCACCCCAGCACCACGGAGGAGCCGTTTGGTTAGGGGACAGAGGAGAAGGGACGTCGAGAGTCTATTACTCACAGACACAGGAACACAGACACAAGGAGTAGGGCCACCCAGGCTCCCAGATTCGTCGCCACCGTCCCGGCCGCGCCGCAGGCGTGCGTGGGGACGAGGGGGGTTTGTCAGTAACGTGGTTTTGCAGCTATTCCAAGGAAATACGACCAAGTTTCAAGTCCATCTGCATTAGTCCCGAGCAGAAACACTGAGATCGGGGTTAAGAGGAGTCATTCTCTTCCACCTGATCACTAGTTCACTAGTAATTCATTCCATGAAGAGGCACCTAAGCTGCTACTCTCCACGGCAGAGAAAAATCTACTTGTACATTCCTGAACCATGCTGGGCCTTACGGCAGCCCCAGAACCTACAACTCGACTAAAAACCACCAGAGCTTCAGCCTGGAGACATCTGCTGAGTCCCACAGGCCTGGAGCTCCATCCATTCCCAAGGACTGTCCCATTAGACCCTTGGATCCACACGAAGCAGACTCCGGACCCCGCAGCGAGCGACCCGGGAGAACGGTCCCAAAGGAATGAGAGATTCCAGCAGGCAGCTGCTGCAGCCCCTCGCCCAGCAGCCAGGCAGCTTCTGGGACAGCAGGCACAGGTCTTGTGAAGGGCAGAGAGTTCTCCAACGCTTCCACATCCCTGCAGCAAGCCAGAGCCTCACCTCCCCCACGGCCCCCGCCGAGCATCGGCCGCCGCAGAACGTGAAGGGAAGAGGGCAGGAAAAAGGGATGAGGGAAGAAGCAAAATCTCTACACAGTCCAGGAACCTCCTCGAGGAGGAGAGTGACCTGTGAGGCAGCCCGGTGCAGCAGCACCCCCCGAGGCAGGGAGGGAGGGCAGGGAGGTATGTCAGCTCACGGCATCCTGCCCGCTACGACTCCTGGCACCTGGCTTATAGAACGAGGCAGGGAAGGGACTGGCCCCAGAACTCCACCCTGACAGCAGATCCAGGCTCCCCAGAGCCAGATCTCCTGCGTGCCACAACTAGATGCTAGTTGGGGAGGGGATGGGTTGTGGTTTCTGAACTTGAGGAAGGCTCCAAGGCAGCACTGGCTACTGGGGACACTACAGGCCGTCGAGGGGAGGCTCTCGGAAGCCTTGGGTCTGACAAGGCAACAGTCGGGAAGAAAACCAGGTAGAAAGGTGTGTTCATCAGAGCCCGCCTGCCTGCCACAGCCCAGGAGAGCCCTGGCATCCTGGAGCTGCCCCAGCAGGGGCAATGCCAGGAGGAATGGTGCTGGGGCTCCCCGGCGTGCTCCGCAGCTCCCCGCGCCTGCAGCCTACGTGTTCCGGATGCCCAGCGCCTGCTCCAGCTCCTGCCGCCGCTGCTGCACCTGCCGGGGGGCCCAGAAGGGCACAGTCAACACCTCCAGCCCCCCATGGCACCCCCCCGGGGGCACCCGACGGGCATTCTGAGCCACAGGGCACGGAGAGGGAGCCCTGCTCACCTTGGAGTAGAAGTATCTGCACACGGCTTCCTGAGCCCAGGGCTGGAAGTAGAACTCGGCTCTGCGCTCCTCCTCAGGGTTCCCCACGACATCAGTCATCGTCTGGAGCACGAGGGACAAAGTGGGTCAGGGAAGGTGAAAGCTCTGGCGGTGCTGAGCAAGCCCACACCCCCCTTCCCCTGTCCCCAGAGCAGCTTCAGTGCACTCAGGTCAAGTTCTTACGCTTGACTCCAGTTCTAGCCCTGCTTTCCGAGCAGGAAATCGCTTCTCTCTCTGTGGGAGCTGGTGATAATGAGGGAAGCGTGTGACTGGATCCACCCTCCACACAAGACAGAGCATTTACCTTTAAATCCCTGCACTGGGACTGTAGCCAGTCGTTGATGAAGCCCTGAGGATCTCGGGCAAAGCTCAGCATGAACTCACGCTGGGTCTTCAGCTGGTTAATTGTCTCTATTGTTTCATGAATCTGAAGGAGAGAAGCACAGCAACAGAACTGCTGAACAGGGGGGAAAAAATCAGACAGGAACATCAAGAGACCCAGCACATGAAGGTGAATTCTTCTACTCCTTGGATGACTTACACCTCTCAAACAGGACTCTCAATTCCCAGTTTCCTGTTTTAAATAGTACCAATTTTCCCACAGACCATCTGCTTTAAATCCCCACTTCAGGCACAGCCACGTGTCTGTGGGCACAGCTTACCCCACTCCAGCTCCAGTGCACCAGGGAGCAGAGCCCTGTCCTCTTCAGGGCTCACCAGCTCCACAGACACATTCCTGCCCAGCCAGGAGGAGAGCAGAGCCAAGGAACTCTTCCTACCTTGTTATCCAGAGCAGCAATCTCCTGCTGGCTGGCCGTGGACAGCAGAAAGGAATTCATCTGAGTTTTCAAGGTGTCATCCACCTCCACATCGATGTCATAGCAAGCTGTCTTCTTCTGGTCATTGGGATCAACACTAGGGAGTCACCCAGAAGAAAGAAGCCAAAAATAAGTGAGTAGCTCAGGAAGGCACAGACCTGTGGCTCCCTGAGGGTGGTGCAGCACAGGGATGAGGGTGAGGACCAGCCACACGAGGGGTGGCTTTGGCTCTGCCCCCAGCAGATTTCTGTCTACAGAACCACGACCGTGGGAGCAGCTCGTGGAGAGGAGGGATGTGGGACACGGAAGAGGAGGCTGCTGCTGCAAATCAGAGCACATCCCCTCGCTCATCCTTGCCCCATTTCTTCCAGGCCCCTGGAAGGAGTCTCACCTGATGACGTGGTTGATGATGATGGGCTCGGGGGGCATGAGCAGCGCGTGGAGCCTCTGAGGGATCTCCGAGAACTTCATCCGCTGGGACTCGAATATCTGCCACAGAGACCCGGGGTAGGGGCAGGGAGGGGGGCAGGGCCCTGGGGACCCCCCGCCGTTACCTGCTGGAGGTATTTGTCACAGATCACGTACTCCCGCTCGTGGGGGTCCTGCAGCTTGTGGGTCTTGATGTACTGCCACAGGGCCTGGATGATCACGGGGCGGGTCTGGGTGTGGATCCCCAGCAGACGAGCCAGGCGTGGGTCCAGCTTGAACTGGGGGGGCTGGGGAGAGAGGTCACAGCTGGAGGGCTGGGTTGGGTTTTGGGGGCCACGAGGGGGTGGAGGGATGAGGGGTCTGGGGGATGTGTCTGATGAGGAGAGGGTGAGAGGTGTTCAGTCTGGGGAAGAGGAGGCTGAGGGGAGAGCTTCTGGCTCTCTGTAACTCCCTGAGAGGAGGCTGGAGTGAGGGGGGGGTTGGTCCCTTCTCTCAAGGAACCAGTGATGAGAGGAAATGGGCTGAAGTTGCCCCAGGGGAGGTTTCAATGGGATATTAGGCAGAATTTCTCTCCTGGCAGGGTGGTGAGGCCTCAGGCCAGGCTGCCCAGGGGATCCCCATCCCTGGAGGGGTTCGAAAAACGCGTGGACGTGGCACTTGGGACCATGGTTTAGAGGTCATGGGAGTGTTGGGTTGGTGGCTGGATCTGATGATCTTAGAGGTCTTTTCCAACCTTAATGGTTCTACAAAAGGCCCAGGAGGGTGAGATGGCCACAGAGAGAGCTGACAATGCTCTCAGCACCTTACCTGGTAATCCAGCATCAGGAGCACGGTGCAGCGCACGTTGACATCTCCCGGCCTCTTCACCTGGAAGCCATCTGTCTCCTGAGTTGTGGCAGTCCTGTGCCACTGGGATGGGAGAGGGCATTTAGAAACACCCCCCCCAGCTTGGTTCCCTTTGCTCCTGCTGCTCAGAACTCGACAGGCTTGCCAGGAAATCCCACCCGCCTGCAGAAAGTTCACCTTAGTCCCACTTCCAGCTTGGAACAGGAGTTAATGCAGTTGTTCAGACCCCCAGCAAGCTGAAGAGCTAAGACAAGACTTCAAGAGCTCCTGGCTCCCAAGGTTCAGGCCTTAAGTGTCCCCACCTCCCAAGTTCTGAGTGATAACCCTGCCTGCTAGACCACCAACCCGTTCTGAGAGGTAACACAGCAAAAAGAAGCTCACCTCTACTAGGTGATTGTCAGGGCCATACAGGTCTTTATCAAGCTCAATGACCAGAGATTTAAAGAAGGAGGAGAACTTTCTTTTCTGCTTGGTGGCATCGTATTTGGACAAAGCAGACTGCAAGCAACACAGGAAGGAAAAAAGTGTTAGGAGAGGAAGTCTGAGCAGTCAAGCACAGCCACCGTGCACTCCTTTCAGTTCTGAACACCTGAATCCACCGACGGGCGCTTGAAAAACCAAAGTTCCGAGTCAGAAAGGGGAAAGGACTGGAGTTAAAGATGAGCTGGCAGGGATTAAATCACTCAGCAACACCAGGCAAGTGCCAGGCTTCTCCGAGCCAGGGGACACAAGCGCCACCGACCTGCTCTCACCATTCCCTCTTTAGAGCTACAAGAACTTTGTACAACTCAAGTCCTGCCGTGGGGACACCCCTCGGTCTCCAAGCTGGGCTCTCAGGTCTCGTCACCATCAAGACTCCTTGGAAAACAGAGATGAAGGAGGATATCAAGCCCCCAGCTATGCTCTCGGACACCAAGAAGCTGGTTTCCTTGCCAATCCCAGACCCACCAAGTCCCCTCTGAGGTGGGGTCACTCACACTTACATCCTCCAGCAGCCGTCCTTCCACTCGAAGCTCCCAGGAGGCGACTGTTCCTTCCCCATCCTCTGCATCTGACTTGGCTGGGTTGAAGGTGTTGGAGATGAAAATACGCAGCTTTCGTTTTTGCTGGGAGAAAAAGCACCAGCTCAGTGTTAATTCTGGAATAAAGGGCTGACTGCCTTGCTAAAAATCACTTTGGTGGGTTTAGCTGCCTCATCTCCCCCTTCTCCCAGGGAAGGAGGCGTTGCTGGTGCCCCTCAGCTGGAGTGTCACGATTCCCAGCAGGGACACACAACCCTTCGTTGCCCTCCCGCTGCCTCAGCTCAGGGAAAACCCTCCAAACCTCCCGTGGGACGAGCAGAACCCAGCCCTGCCCTACCTTAATGGGTCGTTTCAAGGCCTCCTGGATGTCCAGGCGCTTCCTCATGATGGTCTGGTCCAGCTTCCTCTCGAAGGCCAGCAGGTCCATGTAGGCCTGAGACTCGGGGACGAGCTCGCGGATCTAGAGGCAGCCCAGAAGGGAAATCAGCCCCTGCTCCTCCTCCAGCCCTCCCCGTGCCCCCACCAGCCACTGCCACGCCTGCCACTCACCCTCTGAGGTAGAATTTTATCAGCCATCTTCTTCTTCTTGGCGCTGTGGAGGGAGAAGAGGCACAGAGAGGCATTAAAACACTGCCAGGGACCCGAGTGTCCCAGAGCTGCTGGAGGGCTCAGGATGTGGCCAAAGGGACACAACACCCAGGCCAAGTGTCACCAGCCTCTGTCAGCTTTGGGGTGGCTCTTCTAGGAGATGCATTTTAAACAGCAGGATGGATTACCAGCCTCCCTGAGGCATCACGTTATCCTGCCAGAGACTACAGTGACTTGCTCCTCTCTAGCAGCTGCACAAGACCTGATCCCCCCTTCAGC